CCTCTGCGATATTTTTCTCGAATGCCTTCGATTTCTGGAAATCTGGCCAACCTGTTGAATTTCGAATTATTATCTCCCTGAAAGTTTTTCATATTGCTCTGAAGTTTTCGGAAACACTAAAAAAAAATGCCGCCATATCCACGAAGTGAATGATGATGAGTGGGCGAAGCTCCGGAGGTAAACCTGGTAAACCATGAATCCTCCGTACATTTTGCCCACTCGATTTTATTGCAACGCTCCCCCTAGCGTACGTCGCCGCACTATATCGAACGATGACACGCGCCATATGTGGCATCATTCCTATTTTATAACACCTCGCATCTTTCATAATCAACTACACGTACCGCCGTCTAGTTTATAACATCTTGCATCTTTTGGACGGACGGATGCACGGACGGACGGACGGACGGATGGATGGGTGGATGGACGGACGGACGGACGGACGGACGGACGGACGGATGGATGGACGGACGGACGGATGGACGGACGGATGGATGGATGGATGGACGGACGGATGGACGGACGGATGGACGGACGGATGGATGGATGGATGGATGGATGGATGGACGGACGGATGGATGGATGGATATGGCTGTACCCTTTAGATCGGGCGGTGGCTAGCGTAATACTTGGAACTGAACGAGAGGTGGCTACATACAGGGGACGCACAGCCCACGCCTTAAGGAGCTTCGCTCCTAAAAAATTATATATGTAACCCTCTGTCTTGGCCCGCTTATGTCCTTATGCAACTTATTCTGAGTATTTTTAAGGCACAGAGATCACTTTCATCTCCTGTTTTCTAGCCCTTCTGTGTTTATTTTGAGTACCGGTTGGAAGGCATTGGTTATATATTGACACAAAATTAAGATAAAAATAGGTTGTAAGAGACGTCAACCTCATCGCCCATACCTCCCAGGCATAAAATGTCATACTGATTCGCCATGTCTGCTATACCTCTAAAGGTTCGTTGTGCAGCCACATTGATTGATTGCTTGATTGATATGTGAGGTTTACCGTCCCAATACCACCATATGACTATGAGAGACGCTGTAGTGGAAGTTTCCGGAAATTTAGATTACCTGGGGTTATTTATTGTGCACCCAAATCTGAGCACATGCGCCTACAACTATTCCGCCTCCATCGGAAATCCAACCGCCACAGCCAGGATTTGATCCCGCGACCTGCGGGTCAGCAGCCCAGTACCTTAGCCACTAGACCTCCACGGCGGGGCGGTGCAGCCACATTTAAACTGTTCATATTTATGTTAGCCCTAGTCTCGCACATATGCAAGCCTAGAAGAGCTGCATGGCCAAGTAGTGTGACGATGACCGGAAGTGCAAGACAGGATGAGGAGAAAGCCGCAAGCGGTCCTTTATGCCATTAGGCTGATCTGCGCCCGAAATACAAGTAAAGCACAGTGCGGATGACGATGAAGTACTCAGGTGCCCAAAGCTGCACTCGCTTTAAGAATGAGGGGTGTTTTCGGTTAAAAGCGGCCTGAAGATAAGCTGACAGATCACGCATTTATGATGGAGCGCTAATACACACTACTTGCAAGCATCACAAGTGGAGCGCTAGAGATAGGAAAGTTATCGCGTCCCTCTCAAAGAAGTATTCGCCCGATCTTTAAAAACAACCAAAACCAACAAGTGTTCCACGTGAAAACAGATGAGAACGAAAAAAAAAATGAAAATTCACACTTGACGTTGCAAACAGTAACGCCTATTACCGCGTGTGATGGATGTCAAGCGTACGACATGCATGCGTTCTGGGCGAGAGCTCGTCGTCCCATGAAGGCAAGATTCGCAGTCCAGTTTTAAGGCCCAAAGCAGCGCCAGAACAAGTTTTCGCCGAGTCCTCGGTGGCTAGAGGGGTCCAAATCTACACAGGCTCGCCGGAATTGTATTCTGTATGGTGACGGAGCAAGTTGTAGCGTCTTGCAGTGGTGAACTGTTGTTCTTTAGTCCGCAGACGTGCAAGTCGTCAGGCTTGTTCTGCGTTTCGAAGGCACGCAGCAACGTCATGGTAAGCATCCAACGTGGTAAGCTTCACTAGCGCCGCCGTGAACCCTGTTTCTCTGTCCTTTATTAGAACCTTGAGCAGTCCGTGTCGGACTAAAATTCAACGGGCTTTTTCAGAAGAGTGGTCAGGGCATGCGCACTGGTGGTGAAGTAACGCGCGCCGTGTCTCTTGGGTGCCACAAAGTGGGCACAGGTGTGAGCGGAGTGGAACCTGGCGTCGCAGGTTTGCAAATCATCCCGCAAAATATGAGGCCCCGAGATTGTGTATCAGTCCATGGTGGTCATATTCGAAGGCAAACCCTGTTTCAATTTTCGCCATCTAAAATAATAAAGCACTGTCGAAGTCACGTGATGCTCTAAAGCGCATCACGTGACTTTGACAGATAATAGAAAACACCAAAATATCTCTTGAATTTGGCGAAGAGTGCGCGAATACACAAGATTCCCAGCAGTCAGTTTATCGTGGGAAGCCTGTACAATCGCATTTCGAAGCTTGCTGTGAAAGACAATAGGATAGAGTGTCTTGTTGGGCACAAAGTTTTTTGCGATGGTGGCCTTTGAAGACAAAAAGACGAGATCCACCGCCTAAATGTTGCAGGAGGTGATGACGTCTTTCTTTCTAGATATTCAAGAATCCGAAAGTTGCCGTTTTGCAAAAGTGCTGCTACTGATAGGTGCACAAAAGCTGTCGTCGTGATCGTTCTTTGGGGGTTCCTCGACGTAGGGCACTCGACAAGAAGTCTGCGTCCGAATGTCTCTTCTGAGACTTGTCTGTTGCCGTGACATTTTATTCCTAGAGACAAAGACTCCATCGAGTGAGACAGCCAGAGGGGTCTTTTAAATTGGAAAGCCAGAAGACGACTTGATGGTCAGTCACAACCTTGAATAGTGATCCGTAAAGTTGCGATTGGAATTGTGATTTCGCCCAGATGAATGCGAGCAATTCTTCTGAGTAGTTAAATAGTTACTCTTTGCCTTAGACAAGCTTCCGTATTGAATTGAGTGCGCTCCAGTAGTGTTCCGCGTTCCATTGGCAGCCCTCGTAGGCGGTGGCTACTGGATGTCATCCCTTTGGTTTTGGGGGTCTCGCCTTTTCCAGCAGCAGTCGGGTCAGGGGCCCGGTGCATTTCCCGCTCTATCACCAGTGCACGCTGCCGCAAGTGTGAAGAAACGTGCACGACAAGATGAGAAAAGCCGCAACAATATATTGTATAATAGGCCTCAGCTTCGCCCGAAAAACACAAGTGAACCACAATGCGGGTGGCGAAAACAAACTGTCTGTCGCGAAAAGCAAACCATGTGTGGATTAGATACAGTGGGCGCTAACACTTGCACTAACGGTGGTGTTGAAGCTGGCACTCAATGCGGTGTTCCGTGGGAGAGAAATCAAAGGAGGCTCAAAGCAAGCAGTGATGAACCGATGTTTTGCTATTAGAACATGCCAATCACTTTTAAAGGGCAATGATAGACAGAAACACTCCAATTGGACACAGAGACCCCCGGTCCACTCTAGGTTAACGCTTACGCTGCAATTTTTTTTTTTACAAACGCCCAGAAGAAATCTCTAATCGGCACTATTTTGAAGGTCGTTATCCAGTGACCATCTGTAAGGAGTGGCCAGTGTACGGTTATGCAGCGCAAGCAGTCGGTTTTTTTTTTCAATCAAGAAACTCGGCAGCAGACACTCCCTGCGTCGGTATTGCAAGGAGACAAAAGGGGGAATGTAGGAGTGGAGAGAGATAGAGGGGACGCGCGTGCGCAATGGGGGTCTAAGCGCCGTGGCGAGGGGGGCCCATAGTTTCCTCAAGTTAACTAGAAAGGACTCTGGCGCTGCGATCCTTCAGCGACTATGGGAATGATGATTATGCACAGATTTGCGAGTCTTCGTATACTTGCGAGCGGTCAATCATGTGCACACTTGTGGCCTCGTTTATTGCAGTGTCCCTGTTTTGTTGCGATGTAAAGAACGAACCCTTTGGAACTTCGTGACCCGATTTAGAAAAGGTTCACGTTGGAGCGCCGATACACGCTACTTACGCGCGTAAGAAGCAAAGCGATAAGAATGGCAATTTATCGCGGCAGTATGCAGTACAAAACTGAAACAAGAGCTTTGACTTCGTCAGCTCAGCCACAGTGGAAAAGTGTTACCCCAAATCAGGAGGAGCCGCGGTACCGAGACGGAGTGTGCGTCTGAAACGTGTTTTTTTGGAGATAAGTTTCGTAGACCACAAATACGTCGTGAAACTCTTGAATGCACGAACCGTAATTTCACGATCATTGTCTCAACTTGAAATCAGAACCATAAATTTTATATGTTTTACTTGTAAAACATTTTATTAAAAAAACGCATGTGCTACATCGGAAGTATTTGGAAGAGATAGAGCACTTCCCTTCATTTTTCGTGCCACTGAATAGGCATGAGAGATCTTTGTGGAGTCAGGACTTTATCATCTAAACGCGCATATAAAGCAGCATGAGCAATATTATGGCACATTTCACATACAAGACAACAAATGGAGGAAAGTGAACGAGGTATCGCAGAGTTCGCAGGTTCGGAACCAGATGGCGGTTGTATAAGTCAAGGGTTTATGAAGCTCTGTTTCTACACTATGTAAAGTTTCTGCTTGAGCAAATCCCTTTCCAAGCTAGCAACCTAAGGCGTCCCACTATATATCAGGTGCGAGGAGAACATCAAGTTGCCGCTTGGGGGGATAGCTAGGACCCATATTTTAAGACTTCCTGTTAACGATGGTACAATGGTTGCGGTGCCTAGCGGTAGTGGTGACATTTAGATTAAATGAAATGGGTGGAGTTTTCTACGAGTACTCAGCGATGTCGGCACACGCTCAAGAACCTGAGGTAGTCGAGGTTTGAGGGGCCCTCGAGTATGATGTACCTCACAATCTTGCCGGGATTCTCGCATGTAAATACTTCAAATCATCCGCGGGCTCGAGCACGTCAAATATTTAGGTGCCTTACCTGATTGGTGCGGTGATCAAACTTCTCTGCTGTGTTTTGCCTGTGACGACCGTCGTATCCTCCCATGGCGTAGATTATTTCGTTCAGTACGGCTACGCTGACGTAGCACCTGGAGAATTGAAGCGTTTGTTTGCAACAAGCGTTCTCTTGCACAAGTATGACTAAGGTAGCGTTTGGTATACTTAATTTTATAAATGTTTTTTTTTTTGCAAATGCGGTATAGTGAGCTGTTCACCAATGATAACAACGAAAAAGGGTGAGTCAGAAAGCACGGTCCTGAAAAGCGAGATAGATACAGCTTAGAACGTCTGCCGTGAACTGGAAAAAAACAGAAGGCAACTGAGCATGCGCAGATTTTTGCGTCCACCTTCCTTCCGACCTCTGTGTTCGCTGTAAGTGGATTGCTAGCAGTTTGCGTCATCTCATTTCCTCTTCTTCTAGAACTGCGCGTGCCTACTGACCGTTCTTATAATAATGCGTCTCCACTTCGTCCAACTTTATATCCTAATCACCAGTTATAACTCTATAACAAATTGGTGGTACTTATACCCAACTTTCCGCTGGCGTTCGCGCCCCGTGTTGCACTATTATTAAAGCCAAAGCCTTGGATGCGCCACTAAACAGGAACATAAACTGGCTTCACGTTTGGTGGTGTTGGCGACAACGCGATTGCAGTGGAAAATCGCCGCGCAACGACGTTACCTTGGGATGGCATCATGACTTCACACTTCATGAAAGTCTGTGGCGTCACATTACGTGACCTAATAAGATCTATTTCGCCTTCTAATCATGTCCGTGCAATGCACGAGCAACCCGTAGATATTTACACCAGAGAGTTAAAACAGACAAATGTACAGGCAGACCGCCCAAAATTTTTCTGTCGAAGGTCCCCAAGAAAGGCTATTGTCTTCAAAAACATCATGAATATGAATTAGCGGAAGAAGTATTTTAAACGCATCACGTATATGACCTGACATAAGCGTATATACACTCCAAGCGTCAAAATCGAGCGCCAAGCCTCTGAATTGAGCAACAAGTGGTTGTTTCTGAGGCCCACCCATTACCAAGCGCTCATTTTTAATAGTCATCAGCAACACAATCCTCAACAAAGTGAAAAGCTGCGTAGGTTCACGTGTGGCCCTACGTAGGCGTAGTTGGCGTTTCGCTGATTCGCCAAAAGAAATAGTTATGTTGTAGTTGGCACTACACAACGAGTGTGTTTGCAAACGGCATTCAATGATGCTTTGAAATGACCAATGTTACATGAAAAGTCGTTCGTTTCATTACGGCATGGTGGAAGAATGCACTGATTATCGAAGTCGGCTGACAGTTCAGTGGACGATTCATACGATGCTCGATTGTGTTGTCGGGATGTACCCTTGAAGTCAAAGCTCAAGTGGCCACTAATATCTGTTTACCCAGTCTCGATTCATTTTATTACGCGATAAAAAAAAGTGATTACAAGCAAGCACGCATAGTATCAGAAATGAAAACGGCCAATCACGCAGACGCAGACACATTTATCAGTTACTGTGTACTGAAGTAGAATGAACTAGAACAGGCGAGTTCTCTAAACGACAGCAAGTTGAGCACAAACAGGGTCAGTCCGTTTCGGAGATACCGGGTTCCTTAAGATACTTATTAAAGACGATAGTCTTTCTTGGAAACTTTCGACGAAAAAATTGTGGTCTGTCTGTACATTTGTCTGTTTGTCCGCCCTAACGATACCTCAATCGGCATTGAACGGCCAACCCCATCCGCAGCGCTTACCAATATTGCTCAAAGTATAGCTTTCGTAGTTGTGCGATTGTAAACTAAAAAAAGCAAATATTGCGCATATCTGAGGCGCCATAACAACGTATCTATGTTTTGTATGTCTGTCTTTATACTAGAAGGAGCACACACAAGTAACTCTAGGGACTGTAGCGTTTAACGCGCTGCGCTGACAGTGCAATGCGATGCTCAGGAAGGCGTTTCCAACGCTTTGCTACAACGGCACGGTGGTCGCGCCTGTCCGTCGCTTTTCATTCTAGATCTTATCAGCTCCGTGACTGGTGCGCATATTTCTCCGCAGTTGTGCATGCCTTCGTTTTCGAAGATAACTGCCAGGTGACGCTCGTATTTAACATGCCTAGATGCGCTTGTTCACCTATGTTACACGCTCGAGGCACTCTAACGCGGCGCCTTCAGAATACCATTCACCAGTTTTCTTGCGCAGAACATCGAATAAACGTTTCGTTCACTCTCTCCAGGCATTTACAGTGTAACGTGTAGATTTGGGCCAATTTTTCAAGAGTTGAACGCGAAAGCGATATTCCGTCCCCATAATGCATATTTTAACGTTTTAGTGCTTTAGTTACTAAAGAAGTTCCTGTTGTGTATTACTACAATGAAATCAATAAAGACGAAGGTGAGTTTTTCAGTGAATCTTGCCGATATGAATGCGTTCTGTGTAAAGTGTAGAGCACTTTAAATCACGAGCGTAGTATGCGTGAAATGTTTTCCAACTTGCTATGCACCCAGTGCGCGGTCTTGAGGGAATGCGCTCACTAACGTGCGTGCCTTCACTAAGAGATGGCTGGCTTTAAACCAAAAAGTCTTTAGTATGATCACATATTCGGATGCCTGATGGCAATCGTTCGCTTGCACCACGCAATATTACTGCGATATCGCACGTTTTATTGTGAAGCCTGCATACAGGATGTGTGTTTGTGAAGCAGGTTGTTTTCACTGCATTATCAAGCAGTCGCACGGCTGTGTGGTAGAGCAGCTGCATGCCTCCCAGACGGCCTTTCTTCAATCCTCACTCGTACTCGCAAATTGTTATTGCTCAGTTGACTGACATCTTTGTTGATTTTTCGGTACCGGACCAGCATATCCCTTCTCACACACAACCAACGACGCCGAAGCTAACGCGGACGCCTAGATTTATGCAAAACGAGCCGCTTAAGGCTGTCCTGTTGAAAAGAGATAACGAGCAAATGCGCATTGCCACAGAAATGAAAATGGCCACTCACGCAGATACATTTATGCAGTTTACTGAACGATTTGAGATAGCGCGCACACGCGCCTGTACATGCACGTCACACATATTCATCTGTCCAGAGGTCTCAGGCTTTCGTCGAAAGTAGTAACATCAGATGTATTATTTAAGATACACACAGGACGCCAATAAACGTGGACAATTGCTAAACGCTGAAATAACATGTTCTCAGCTTTTTACCTTCTTACAAAAATTGGGACTGAATAAATTGAAATGGGTAGCAACGGGTAGCTTTACGGGGTTCTGTGAATGGTTGAGAGGAGTTTAGCACATGCTTCCATGACTGAATTCTAGTCTATGGTGCCGATTTATGGAAACAAACCTAACCGAATAACTTCGTGTACCATAAAATGTCAGCTTTACATACTGTGATCTCATGATTGAATGAAAAAGTCTCAAACGCCAGTTACCTACTTCAACAAATCACATGTGAATCTATAGAAAGTTGATAGGTAAATTTTTAGGAAACTGAGAATACTAAAAGTCCATAAAAATATCAAAATTTGTTGTTGGGCTAGATCATTCCCAACCTTCCATACTGTATTGTGCAGACTTAACAAAGAACAAATATAGAGCACCACTGCACAAGACAAGCACTTCGAATGCGCACTAGTGCTTCTGTCCTATGATGAATCCGCACTATGCAGTGTGCAAGATGGCGAATATCTTGTGGGTCTTGTACAGCTTTTCTTACGCAGAAGCGCACCTCTTGGCATGCATCGGTGTGACGGAGCGCCATGTCTTCGTGTGTGCATTGAAGCATCGCACGCTGCTGAAATATTCGTCGCCATTGAAGCCTCCGATTACGTAGATTTCATTGCCGATGGCCACGCACTTGTGATACGCTCGGGGACCTTCGGGATCCACCTCCTGGACCTGTGTGCCCAAAGAAGCTGTGATAATTCCTGAAGTTGTTTCGGTGTTTTGATAATGAGTCGCGTTAGCTGAAACTATAAATCGCAAATAAATTAGGACAGTTATTCAGAATGAGGTGCAGCGCTTCCACACAAAAAAAAGTACGCAAATACCACTCATTGCAGGAACCGGTTTACTCAAGGCTGACGGTGGTGGAACCGATTCATGCTGTAGGCTACAAATCCGACCACTCTCAGGGAACACTCAGCTTTACCCCGAACTGTGGTTCGAGTGGAACGAGTGATCAGGATGGCGTATGCTTTTCTATGCTACATTTTGCGCTAATTTGACTTTTACTGTGATGCAATAAAACCCGCAGTCATTGCGAAGGCAAAACAGACTGGTGATAAGTAAGGTAAAGCTTTTAGAATGCTTATCTGAGAGTGTGTATAACAGTCAAAATATTTCCTGAATGTGCACAAGTTTCGATGAAGATGAGGTAAAATATAATTGTGAAAAATAACATGTGAACTGGCAATTATGAGAACTAAATTTGAGCTTTTGTGCACCACTAAGTAGCCTAAAGTTTTGGAGGTCACAAATCTGCCGCTGTATTTGTTACCACCAAGCAAGCAATCGAGAACGAGTAGAATGAGAGTTCAGAGGCATGTGTTTTTCTTTAGCGAATGAATCGCCATCTCTCATTCCGTGCCTTATTCCCCGATTCCTCTTTACAACCTCGGCGTGCGTTGGCTGGCCATGCTGCTCAGTTCAGTCCTGGACAATCAGCTATGGGCAATTCAGCGGGCTGAGGAAGCCGCTAGGAGGCAAGACCTTCTAGCCGACACCTAGGCGGGAGCCCAGCCCACTAACACGCCGAACATAAAATAAAGCTTTTCCCAATCATTCACCGTTCACAACACTCGCTCGCAAACCACTGATGTATTTCTGCACTATTTTCACAATAACAGAAACTCCGTCCTTCACAAGGCATGCCGAAGCAGAGAGGAGATAGAAAAAAACACACACTTGGTTCGAATAAATTCGTTCACGAACCTCCCATGTAACGAAATGTTTGCTGCTCCTTGAGGAGTGAAGTAATGCAATACCCACAGGGTATATACTAACCTTTATCCACCTGTCAGCTTTGGTGTCGTAGCTCTCAATGTAAGCAGTGGGGGCTCCTTGCATCCAACCACCCATGGCGAACATGACTTCATGCGGAATGCGGGGACGAGCGAACAAGGGCGTCGGCACTTCGTCGTTGTGCACCACCACGTCAAGATCGTACAAAAACCGCAGTGTGTCGATGACCAACGGCCTGAGAGGTAAAGAAAAGTGTCTCTTCCTCAATAATTTGTTCCGTGAAGGTAAGGCTCTTAAAACTTGTTTCCAGTACTAAGCTTGGGACTGACTTTGCTATACCGTTTTCTATTTTTGGTTCTAGAAACAAGAGCGTTGTGGTCGCTAAGATTTATACTACATGGTTCTTGAACGAAGCAGCGCTTCTGACAAGCGGCGTGCATTCTTCTCATCTAGCATTACTTGCCCGCTCTCATGACATGCTTTACCGGCTACTCTAGAACCCTTAGGATCCATCTTTTGTCTATCGCGTGATTCAGCACAAGTCCGCTGGTGTGCTCAGGTGAATTGCTATGAACTAAGGTGACAAGGACTTGTCACTTTCCTCAAAGCTATATAAACTAATAATAAAAACATGCTATGTGGAAGCAGTTATTGCGCTAGCAAATAATGGCAGAAAGATTAGCAATAACCATAATAATTGCAATATAACATGGTCGTGAAGTCCACCTGAGTTGTTCGTTCGTTTTCCTGACGCATGCTCCTCTAGTATTAAGAGTTTCGATTTCCAGGTCGATACGCCAATCTGCTGCTAAACAGAGATTGTCAGGTCGATACGCCAATCTGCTGCTAAACAGAGATTGTTCAAGAATATTGTCAGAAAAAATTATTGATCATCTTCCCGAAGGAAAACTTGATGGCGTGCAAAGCAGCAGTAGTGCGCACGGTGAAGACCCGGTTGAAATGGGCGTCGATGCATGGGCTGGAAGAAGAGTTTGAAGCGAAGCTCTGTGTAGCGTTTACTAGAGTGAAGTTTTCTTTTAAAGGCAAAGACACGGAAGGCGGATTGGGTTTCGTGCATGTTCTATCGTTGATAAACAAGGCCAAAACAGTCAGAAGCAGGCGTACACTCACATCCTGCAAGCCATTTTCCATGACAGGCCATGTCCCTATGATTGCTGCGGATGTGCAACGAAAACTGTCTAGTGTGTCCACTCTACGTGTTGTCGACCTTGCGGGTAGTGGAGAGGACGACGCGAGCAAGAAGCGTGTTGCAAGCGGGTGGATGGGACGGCAGCTGCTACGGGTGAGGGAGAAAGTGACGCCAACATGCAGCTGTGGCTTAACCTTCTTAGCATCGCTGCGACGCCTGCGGCGAGGGGGTTCATATGGACGTATGGTACAGTGTTATACGGGCTAGTCAAAGAGCTGCTTCGAATCTAAAAGGTATGATTGAACGGAGCGTATGTATCACCAGTCAGCGGCACGTCACGTTCAGTTACATTTCTCACAATGTGACTTATCCTCATGTCATTTGGTGCACCCAAGTGTGCTAATACCTTTATGAACGCTGAGGTTGCAGTTTTTAATTAGTCATCGCCATCAAGGAGCCCACCGGATACATGCGGTTTAAAAGTGTTGTCAATTCCCGTGATCGACTACGGTGCGTACCTGCAAGATTCGTTGTCCGAGACAAACTTGTGTGACTTGATCTTCTCGACGAAAAAGTTCGTGTCCACAAGACCCGTCCGCACGCAGCGCAGCAGCCGAGCAATGTGCTGCTGCCGATCGGCTGAATCGTGCTCGATCCAGCGCACCACCGCTTTCCACACGGTCTCCTCTTTGACGATGTTCAGGTTCTCGTCCGAAAGGATCGCTTCCACTTCGTCGATGTTCAGGCTGAGCAGCTCCTCGCTTTTCTTCGACACCTCGATGAAGTTTTGCATCAGGTAGCTGAGAAAGAAACGGAAGCTTCTAATGAGGCTCACGTGGCCCTAATTATGTAAAAAACCACGTATAGCTCTAATCAAGGACAGGAAGACGAAGCCTAACTTCCAGCTTAGTTTATTGTGCAGAGCACGAATACATATATAGGAGTCAAAGAACTATGTGATAAAAGATGGACAATACAAAGATGGGTAAGGCAAAAGAAGAAAAAACAAAAAGACAAAAATCTAAGAGCAATATCTAAGAAAACTATTGAAGACCAAAAAATCACTATTTGCGAGCACCGTTACAATAATGAACTCAGTTGGAAGTCCGCGCTCGTCTTCTTTTCCGTTTTTGTCGTTATGAGCTCGCGCTTTAGCAATCGTCATGACCTACCAACTAGCCCAAGCCGTCACGTTTCTAACCATGGGTAGAGAGTATAACAGTGGTCATGTTATTCCGTTAGGAATTATGTAGACATTTTAGGGTCATTTCCGCCGTCTCTTTCGACGTCGGCGTTGCTGTGACGCGATAACGCCACCCCGCCTGTCATGTGGTCTTTCATGCAAATGAAATCATGCGAGGCTAGCCGATGATATCGTTTCAAATTGGTGTGCAGGACCCGGCCTTGTTTTGCCACGCGAAAGGCGTTGGCCGTTTCGGAGGGAGGGCTGTGTGGTTAGTGCAGCAACTGCTCACTTCAAGCAGCCTGGCGCCATCACGCGCGCTTGGTGTCGACAACAATAAACAGAACGCTTACAAATATGTACACGATGTACTCACACCCTCAATTTGTACCGATGTGCTTAAACCTTTAGTGTCACCAGCTAGAATAGAATCATTATGCCGTTATAACTACAGAGTAGGAATTCACATTTGGTGAAGAGCTAGCGTCCAATAATTGTTCGTTGTTGAGTAGGTCTGTGCAGAAAAGAAGGTTTCTGCGCGCTCTAAATTGCCTTCCCACTCACTTGTACGCCTTGGAGGCGAGATCGGAGCAGTTGTACAGCTTTGACACGTTGTGAATGGATATGCAGTTTTCAGGAGACATGATGGATTGGAGGAAGTCGCAGCAGTCCTTGACCATGCCCATAACGCAGAGGTAGTCGGCGGCCTCGAGCAGGTTCTCCACGTTGTCACAGCCCACCCACGTGACACGCTTGTAGGCGAACTCCACGATGATGGCCATTATCGCCTTGGACACACCCGGAACCAAGACCTCCTTGCGCAGTACTCTGTTCAAAGTACTCCAGAAAAGGGCCCTAAAAGGTATTTAGTCTAGATAATGACACTACACATTATGCTCGCCGCTTTTTCATATACATTTACGCACTAGGAAAGCTATATCTTCCAGCTCATCCGAATGGTACGTGGCACGGCAACTTTACTAATAACCCGTAACTTTCGCTTTCAGGCCAGCCGGTACACATTTCAAGTACTAGATTCCTTGCGAACATCAAAATGATGTATCCCGATGCTTTAGATGACTCTTTTGGGTTCAGTTTTTTAACTTCAGTTTCACTTCATAATTCTGTGCTGAAGCCATAAACAAGCACGTTACTTTTAAATAAATTACTTCAGGCTTTGGAAATGTCATAATAAGCCGTGTGCAACGTGTCAAACCACAAACTAAAGGTAATGACGATGCGATAAGACAAAGACATGGGCATGGGCGTTCTCTTGGGAGGGGGGAGGTGGTGTTGAAGCTGCTTTTTCTGGTTACCTAAGTGGAGGGTGGGGCAGCTGTGTGACACCTACACTCCACAGTTTCCTAAAATTAACTAGAGCGGACTCTGGCACTGCAGTCATTCAGTGATCATGGGAATGATGGGTGGTACATGGATTTACCTAGTCTTCGTACTTGCGGGAGGCGAATCCCACTTGCGGCTTCGTTTATTGCTGCGTGGTTTTCTTTCTAATGAAAGACCGAATGCTTTTGAACTTTGTGACCCGAACTTTGTGACCCGAATCGTAAGCGTAAAAAAATAAGGTGGTGAATAAAGCAGAACCGTGGTACATTTGCTGATTTTCATTTCTTGAGGGAATGACGTTAAGCCACACAAACACACATGGAGCCAGAACTACGAATTTTACTCAAATACGTGTACCACCTCTCATTCCCATGCTCGCTGAAGAGCCCTGCGTTGCAACTCCCGCAGACACTAGCGCCAGAATTCTCTCTATTGTATATTTATGAAACACTATGCTTCACCCACCTGTCCCGTATGGAACACCCTGCACGCACGAACCTTCGGATAAAGATTGTACCATAGGCTGTGAGTAGGCAACTATGTAAAATTATAATCTTTCGTTAGAGCTTCTCGATTTTTCTTCCTGCAGGTCTAACCTCCTACATGCATTGAGTTTTCTAACAGTGGTGTTTGAAGGAACCTGAATTATTGCAACACACAAGGGAGCACTTTCATTTCAATTATTGTACCCTCAGGGCCAAACAAGGCATTAAGGAGGGGAGTGGTGACAATAAGAAGTCTGTACAGCACATGTAAAACAAATAGAGATTTAATATAAAAGAACAAAAATAAACATAAGCAAACCGTTACAACGCATAAAGTGAAGGAAAGGTAAAGAATGAATACAAACAAAAATACACGAAAAATAGAACAGCACAAGAAAAACAGACATCAAATATATACGAGTGAATAAATGGCATTCTAGTTAGCAATGTTGTGAGAGCAATACGAAACAAGGAATTATCACCCATATATACAATGTCTTGGGGAAGGTGGTTGCACTTTAATGACGTCCTAGGAATGAATGATTGACAAAATGTGTTTATGCTGCGTGAGAATGGTCGATGCGAGGTGATCCATAATATAGATTATGAATAAGCGTGTCATGCAACGTTGGGTGGTGAAATATTTTACAAAGCCCCGCCGCGGTGGTCTAGTGGCTAAGGTACTCGGCTGCTGACCCGCAGGTCGCGGGTTCGAATCCCAGATGTGGCGGCTGCATTTCCGATGGAGGCGGAAATGTTGTAGGCCCATGTGCTCATCCACCCATGTGTCCACCCATGTGATTTGGGTGGACACAAACGTCCACCCATGTGATTTGGGTGGACGTTTAAGAACTCCGGGTGGTCGAAATTTCCGGAGCCCTCCACTACGGCGTCTCTCATAATCATATGGTGGTTTTGGGATGTTAAACCCCACATACCAATCAATCGAAATATTTTATGAAACAGTGTTCAACGGGAAATTTGGCACCTGGCTGCAAGAGATGAAATTGATAGGTTAGTTTTCATGGCTGTTACGCTGGCAGTTTGTTTATAAATGGAAAGAATAAAACGAGCTGCGTTACTCTGGAATAGTTCTAATGCGTTAATTATGATTGTGTTATGAGGGTCGCAAACAGCTGAAGCATATTCTAATTTCAGGCGGAATAAAGTTTTATACAGTAACAGTTTTAAAGAGTCCGGAGTATGAAAAAAGTTTTGCCTGAGGTAGCCAAAGGTGCGGTTTGTGTTGTTATCGACGTATTTAATGTGTGTTGCCCAAGAAAGGTTGGATGCGATATGAATTCTTGAGTATTTGTATGAGGTTACTTGCTTTAAGGGGAGGTTATTTAGGTAGTATACTTGTGAATAGTTAAGTGACCTAGATGCATGCAAACTGTTAGGAAGAATGGCAATAAAGTTAACCTGCATGAATATCTGAAGACTATGAACAGAAATCTCAACACTCAGAATATCTATAATACTGTTGCAGGACTTTCATGTAGTGCATCGGATACCTAAATGTAGAAGCATTAACAAGAAATGCATAACACAGGTACAAGCGCATGAGCTAGCTCACGTACACACACCACAGAATCACATATGTGAGTGAATGTATGAGTCAATCACATATGTGAGTGTCTGGTTGGAACTTGTGGCAAGCATATACGGATAACTAGCGTGCCCAAGCATCGGCTCTGTTGAGCGCAGTACAACCTCTTGTTTGACAGTTACAGCCTTTTAAGGTCTTCGAGAACAATAACGTGGCTTGCAAAACCTAGATATTCCAGTTGAAACTCGATTTATTGAAGTGATGAGGGCGCTAAGGTGTTACTTATACAGGAGATATGTAAAACCAGGAAAGACATTTTTTGGGTTCTTCACTATCCAAAATTGTAACGTAGCCTCACACCGACGCCACCACGGCATTTTATTTCGCACTAATACCCGCCTGCACTTGTAAAAAGTACTCGAGTGAAGCCCGAGCAAGAGTTCCCCTCATGTTGGGGCGATACAGGTGGAGTACACAATCACGTAAAACCAGGAAAAGCTGGCGATATTTAAAAAAAACTCGAGAGAGTAGAGCATTAGAGTTTCAAAGAGATGATTAATGCCATTTGTCGCACAAAGAATCAGATAGTGAAGGAACGACCGTGTTCCTGTGAACGCATTCGTAGAGACCTCAAATAGCCATTGGTCAGCGCCAAACGATACGCAAAATCGCCACCAGTCTATAGGCACGCCTTCGTAGAGATAAAGCCAATTTTCTGACTAGTGTGGCTAGTTGTTATAGCGCGACTACGTTACAGCGCACCTCTGCAAAAACCATTGATCCCTCCGCCTCAGGAATCGGTATCACATTAAAGTGAAACCTGCACATTCAAACCTCCACAAAAGTTCTATTGCAGGTCTTAAGCAAATAATATTGTCACTCGATGACAGTTTTGACTAACAGAGAGACGTCTAAAAGCAGCATGTTGTGTGAAGCATTTTCTATATAAGTACCACTATCAGTCATCAAAGAAGACAGAAGCGAATGGAAAGCACCGCCACGAAAAAAACAGAACTGGGCAGATAAGAACAAAAAAAAAACTGATATCTTGCAATATCTTGGATTACGCATATATTAATAAATTTGAAGAACACGCCAATGTTTGCGCCGTATGTTATGCGCTTTTGAAATTATTAGTGATATGCTGCAATATACACGCCACAGGAGGACAGCCATGTAGTGTCCCATAAGTAGTGTCCTACCATGTAAAACGACGAGTAAACTGCATTGATAGCGTCAGCCATTCAATCCCGCTGTCCTGTGGAAGGAAATATTTGGTATAAACAGGAAGATGCGTAAATCAGTGACTAAAAGAGCATATCTACAACATAAATATTGCAGTGAGAGGTCATCTAGGACTGTACTGCATGCAAAACATCTAGCCAGCCTAGTCGGAACAAATTCATGAAAATACTTTGCGTGGAACCCTCGGGGACGAAGAAAGGAGACCAACAAGCGCAATCTGACAACTTGCTTATTTTTGAAATAAAAAAGCTTTGCTTATAACACTGCGCAATCTAGGCTAATCAACCAGACAACACACTATACGCGCATATAACAATGCGCAAGCACTCTGCGACGCATTTATGTGAGTTCTCCTCGTGGGAAGATTCGGGTGGCGTTTCTTGCCTTTCTCTTATCACAAAATATTTCCTGGCACCAAAACCCTCTGTACTTCCAAATAGGCATGTGATATTGCTCGTTACGGACATTAGCATCGCAATTAAGGAAGATAAAAACGTGCTACAACATTTGCAACTGTCCTGTACCTTATCGCCTCGGCCATTATGCTTGGCTATGGGCTCTGGTCCAGAAGCACTGGTTATGCTAAATGTTGTTATCCACAAGCCATAGACCATTTGTTGTTCTCAAAGAACTCAGAGGTTCCGTATGCGACAGCTTGCCTGATTGTGAGTAATAGAAGAGCTGCTAAAACCGAAGCTGTCGATGTTGCTAGCTTTAAGGGCCTGAAACCAAGATGAATCGCCAATCTTGTCCGGTGGGCTTCATCAACGAGGAGAAGAATGTTGCACATATCCGGGAGAAAAACGAAGACCAGTGAGCGTACTGGCTGCCACAAGCTAGACATATAGAGAAGACGACGACGCTGGCCGCTTCAGCGCTCAATAAACTCCATGACCTAATAAACGACACCTTCAGTCGTATACGTCTCCGTCGCCATCGTGACCAACAACATGATCGTTAAGGTGATTAACTGCTTGGCATGTAAGAGTAATGTCATGACAAATATTACTTATCTCATTTCGTGAAGAAAGAAACCTAGCACTTTACGCAACTATTCCCAATTAAAGAGAGCGATATCAGCTCTATAAACAGGGCAGCGTCTTCTATAAGCTCACCTGAAGTACTCGCTGCAGCTGGCCATGACGACTGTGTGCACGGGGAACTCTCCTTCGTCCGAGGTCTTGAGGAGACCATCGCAGAGCTTGCCAGCACCGCGCATGTCCCACAGAGCTTCCAGGGTCTGCTGGCCCAGCGTCTCGTCGGGCCCATCCCCACAGCTACCCGGCATGTTGGCGGACCACGCCGCCTCCGGCCACAATCCCGGCCTGGCGCCGTGACAGCCCGACACCAGCTGTGCGTCGATCTGCCACGAGAAGACGTCGCGCGGCCGCATCTTTCTCTTCTTCTCACTCTTCGCTCATGGCTATGATGACGATGTTGGTGATGATGGTGGTATCTTTTATTTTACGAGGTCACCTGCGTGGTGCCTCAGAATGGCTCCACAAGTGAAGCGATTCTTTTAACCTAGTAAACGGTAGTCAACTATGTGAATCTCTGCCCGACAAATGCTTTAATGGGAAATACAATAAGGCAGCCCTAACGGTGATATTATGGAGTCCGAAGTTAAGGCAGTTTTGAACCAAATCGAAACCGCAGCAGCAGCCGGCGAAGATAGAATCGCTAATGTTGATGATGAAGCGAGGGAACCGTGTGAGTAATGATTGACGAAGGAAAATAACTCCTGATTTATCGAAACATAGTCTTTCATGTGGTCGCCTCTGTGTATAATCGTTTATCCCTCCTTAATCGTTGATACCAATGATCACTCTCGCACCTTGGCATCTGGCCCATAGGGATGATCGACAAAAAAGAGGATGACCTATTCAAATTGAGTATGCGAGTGAGTGAGTGAATCAACTTTATTCCGGTCACATTAGATGCGAGTAAACGCAACGTCATCTGGCAAGGCCGAAACGGGGATGAACAGGTTAAACCTGAACGCCCTCGTGTGAGCCCTCTGGACGGCAACGATTTTAGAAGTAAATGCTGGGCCTTGTCCGTGAGGAATACGCCTCTGTAGGTCCTGCTTTCTACTGAGGAAATGAAAAAAAAAAAAACGATCTCATTGAGTAAATGTGCGAGAACTTTGTTGAAAGTGTTCGACGATGACCAGCAGGGTGGGGTCACATACACACAAAAAATAGTCTCAGGTTCCAATATGCATTCTATTAGTAGAGCAGAACCTTGAATAGTGGCACATACCCACGCAGGGGAGTTGGAAAAAAACGAGTAGTTTTCAGAAGAAAGTGTTAATTATTTCTTTAAGAAGACTCGAAGGCGAAAGTCATCTTGTTTTTCCTCGCAGCTGATATATTGAAGCTGCCTTGCCACCCATCCAAAACTTAGTCAAGATCGGAGGCTTCCCAACTGGTTTTACATTTAGTCCGTCATCAGTCTACTTCGCACCAGGGTAGGATGCACTTTGATGACATCATCGGGTGACATCACGACTCATCACGTTATACTTTCGAAATTATGTACTTTTGTCCCATCAAACAACCCAACGTATTGTTGGGTGCTATACTATTGAAGAAATCTGTGTGATGAACTGTTATCTTTCCGTATTGTTGTTAGAGTAAGAAGAAGCGCTTAAAACTGCTGTTAGCAACTTAGATTTCCGAAAGAAACTCAACTGCTCTACGTTTATTTCATGAAGAAATGAATAAGAAAAAATATAGATGCATTTTTGCGGTTATTTTAATTCATCGCCCCTGAAGGAAATATCTTTATATTTTCTATTATCGAAGATGAGCATGCAAGAAGCAAGTATTAAATTCACTAGCACTACATCTGTGTGTAGAAGGTGAGACACAAGCCCACCACTTCAAAAGAAAAATACAAGGTACGTGACATGGTACATAGGCGCAGTCGCCAAGCGTGTACATCCTTTTGAATGGTAGATTGCGTTTCACGCAAAAATAATATTAACGTTTGGCGAGCTTCGTGCATTCATTCGTTGATGGACTATGTGTATGTTACAAGTAGGCGTCAGTAAACGCAATTTATTCGCCTACAATCGGCTCGAACCGCTCTCAAGGAGGCGCCGCTGCGTACATTTGTATGTGCCCAGTTGGCCGCTTATACACTCTAGTTCGGTTAGGGTGCTGCCACCTGTAGCCCAATTTCAGCGCGGAAGCAGCTGCATTGTAAATGCGCGCTCTCACTGGGCCTTGAAGGGAGCGAAGGTAGTAACACTTGCCGAAAATGCACTCGCTTCGCAGCCTAAGCGGTCGGAAAACTACGCCATTGGGTTGACGCGAAAAAAAAAAATGGTTGGATACGAAATGTTTGGCCACACGATCGCTTGCTTTACCAGTTCCCAGCTTGGTTGCAGTGTCTCAAACCATACGACATGAAGAAGTCACAGCTTAGCCGCAAAGGCGGAGCAATGAACTCACTAGCTACACTTTCAAAGGTCATGCGCAGAATGGAAAGCAGATCGAAACGTGCCCGGCGTTTTTCGCGCACAAATTACGCACGAAACGCACTCACACGTACGAATGCATGCGAATAGGTGTCTCATTTGTTACTTCGCTGAATGTGAAATGCGCGCGCTTTTCCCGAACGAAGACTGCAATGATTGCAGTGACCTTTGTGCGCGTGGTAACTACAGCAGAATCGTTCCACGTTAAGCCTGAGGCCAGCCAAGGCGTACGATCCTCTCCCCCTCACCAACGTGAGATAAGGGCGCGCGAAGGGCCAGGCAAAATAAGCGTTGGAGATTAGAGTGGGTGCCGCTGCGTGATGTGGCGACGTGCGCTCAATGCGCCATCTTTCTGATAATGCCGAAAGCACAGCAGCGGTGAGTGTTAGATGTAAATTGCTTGCGTTTGAATGGTGCAGAACGTTCTCCGGGGTGGCTCAGTTGTTAACGTCGACGCAGAGGTCCCACGTTCGACTCCGCACGGCGAAGTGCTTTTTCTGCATGTTTTCTTTCTTGCGTTGTCATATATATATAGATACGTATATATATACGGCGCACGACGCCGACGCCGGCGGCAAAATCCCGCCGAAAATGTCCGTATAATTGCTTTCGCAATAAAAAGTTAGCCACAAATTCAACCTGGTGACGAAGGCGAAGACTCCCATCGGCACAATTGCAAATACCCAAACAGCATGACAAAGCTCACCGCCTCAACAAGAATGCGTTTATCGAGAGCCTGCCATAGCTTAATAGCAGTGGAAGTAGAAGGAGGTGCAGCAGCTTCAAGTCAATATGCCCTACGCGTCTCGTTTTTTTTTTTTACGATAGCGATTATATGAACACTCTCGGCATGATTTAGCCACAGACTACTGCGTTGACGTGGGCGGCGCCGTCACTGACCGTATATGTGTATGTATCTATATATATGAAAGCGCAAGAAACAAAGATGTCCTTAAAGCGACTTTGGTGCGCGGAATCGAACTTGGGACCTCTTAAACGTGAGCGCGAGGCGTTAATCACTGAGTCATGGAAGAGCACGTCCCTCAACGTTCAAGCGGCAAGCTATTTATACCTACCACTTACCGATGGTGACGGGCATCTTGGGGGGGGGGGGGATTATCGTGTTTTGAACATTACAAGCAAGATGGCGCAATGAGCGTGCGTCGCTACATTGTCACTATATGCCGGCGCGCGCTCTCATGTTCCAGCGTACTCGCGCGCCCTTATCTCGCGGTGGGGAGAATCGTACGTCTAGGCTGCCCTTTGGCTTTCACCGGAACAATTTTGTTGTAGTCACTGGGCGCACAAATGTCACTGTAATCGTTGTACAGTCTACGTTTGCGAAAAGATCAGGCTTTCCAGACACATCGAAGAAACAACTGAGACGCTTATTCGCGTTCGTCTTTCCCTATGAGTACGTTTTGTGCGTTATTTTGCGTGAGAAACGCGGCGCACGTTTCGATCTGCTTGCCATTTTGCGGGTGACCTACCAGTTTGTTGCTATCACGTTCATTGGTTCATTTTTGCGGCAAATATGTGACTTTTTGCAAAGCCTACTCCGCCGCTGCCCGTGTGGTGGCTCGGGTCATTCCGTCTTTCTGAACGTTGTTTTTCCTGAAACAACATTTGAAAAGATGCCAACTGTTTCTTTTTAGTTCATCACGTGAATAACAAAAAAATTGGGTACCAAATATAATGAACAGAAAATCTGCTAAACATAATCAATCATCATTTTCGTTATGTCTTCATTTAATTTAGTTAGACGACAATATAGTGTGTCCACATGACTCGGGCACAGCAAACCATATACAGCGCGAAGCAATGACATCATTGCATTATTCACTAAAACCATTCTGCAATATCTCTCATTATTGAACACGAAAATGGTATTCATAAGACGTTCTATACATAAATAGCACAGCTTTTAGCGAAGAACGCAACAGCCATTATTTATTTATTTATTTATTTATTTATTTTATACATACTGCACACCACAGTTGTGGTTCTGGCAGGACGAGCACTTGAATAGCACAATAATACAAAAATAGCAAAAGGTACAAAAAATGAAACGGCGCACATTGCATTGTCAATCCAACACACAATTAACAAGACTAACAAAAAATGGGGCTATACAGTATCTAATAAGTATGGCTCAGCAATGAAATTCCATTCAGCCACGGTACGCGGGAAAAATGAAAATTTGTAAGTATCGGTATGCGCTTGGTATGGTGTTAGCGATCTAGGGTTATGGTGCCACGTGTGTTTTGTGGTCAGGGCTGATATATGCAGGGAGGGGTCGATAGCCAATTCATGTTTAGTAAGTGAGCAGAGGAAATCGAGACGAAATTTTTGTCTTCTTAACTGAAGCTTGGGAATGTTATTGGCAATCATTAATTCAGAGGGAGAATCCGTGCGACAAAATTTTGAAAAAATGAACCTGACAGCTTTCCTCTGAATATTTTCCAATTTATCGATGTTATTTTTGGTATACTGGTCCCATACTAAAGCAGCATACTCAATTTTTGGTCTAACGTATGAATGGTAGCAAAGAAGTTTAACACTTGGAGGCGAATTACGAAGTTTGTGTCTCAAGAAACACAGTTTTCGAAAAGCGGAGGAGCAGATGTTTTCTATGTGCAAGTTCCAGGAAAGATTACTAGTGAACGTTACGCCTAAGTATTTGAAGCTGTTGACTTGGTTCACCGCGCATGATCCCAGTGTGTACTGAAATTGGAATAGAGATTTTTTGCGCGTTATGCGGAGGGAAACAGTTTTCTCTGCGTTGACAACCATGCCCCAATCCCTGCACCAACTGTATATATTGTCCAGGTATGTGTTAAGTTCTATTTGATCTTGCATGCTGGAGATTTCACAGAATAAAATACAGTCATCTGCAAACAGCCGGACAT